TCCGAAGCCTAACACCTCGTCCTTGAAGCTGATCACTGAGGACTTTGCGGCCTTGATCCCGGCTCCAGACATCGATCGGCTTCCGCCAGGATCTGTGACTAGACGCGAACAGAGCCGACTACTACGATATAGCTTCATGATGATAGCCATGTGTCGAAACTGCGCATGCATTAACATCCATGACTTATCTGTAGCAAGAATTATCAAGTACCAGTATGCTATTCACAAGCAATCGGAAGAGATGACTCTTACGCAGTTCTAGATATGCACCTGTAAGGGATCGACGATGTTCGTTGCCATTGTCATCGTGAAGGTCATATCAGAAAAACTCTGAACCCTGAATCGTAATCTGACGTACCAGGTCCCAGTCGTGTTGACTGCTCAAACCTGGCCAGAAATGCTCGGGCGAGAAAGTCTGAGTCCACGTTCGTAGTCCTGTGTCCCGGAGGAGCTTCGCCGCCGAAAGCTGATGTTTGGCGCAACCCGGATGCCGTTGTATTGTTGCTTTTGGGGCTGCTACTGGACTTTCTAGAGACAGGCTTCCAGGCATGAAGTACGCATGGCTGCTTGCGGCACACATAGTATTCTAGTATACCTTAGCAACGATCGATGGACGAATAAATCACATGTAATGTAGCCTGATGATGTAGAATTCTGTGTTACATCATATTATCACCTAGTATAACAGTATAACTATATACATATGAAATATACCATGCCATGTTATCACATCTTACAACATCATCTAGCAGATTGTCATCAAGGTCGCAGTCCATGGTCTCTCGTCTAGAGAGCCGAATCAAGCCTCAAACCTCCTCAAGCCCCGAATTCGCAGCCCCCTTCCACTGGAAGGAAAGTCATGCCGCTGAGGTGGTTTGGTATCACTACAGCTACACCCCTAAAGTCTAAACCCCAAGCCCTAAACAAGCCTTCCACAACGAATCACTACAGCTGCACCGCTAGCGTGTGTGAGGAACACCGGCGAACCAGCAAGAAAACTGAGGTGAAAGCTTCGTTGGAGTTCGGATTGTGCAGCTCTGCGGGCAGAGCCGAAGAGACCTTCCGATTGCCGCTCACCGAGCTCCTGGAACCA